TGTTTATGGATAGATCTAGGTCGTTTGACCTTTAGATAAATATCACATATTTTATTTCATACAATTTCATGATAATAGTCCTGTTTAATAAACCCATAGTGGTGAAAGGCATCATATAGTCGGCCCCGTCCGACTTTACTACTTTCCTTACTGGTTTTTTATTGGGCCTTGGAAAACATTGTACAAAAGAAAAACGAGAACTCATAAAAAGTTTATTTCTGATGGAAAAACATACAAATATTTACAAGTGATCATTTTCGCAGATCAAAGTGGTTCTTTTTGGATCTCAAGGCCGTTGTCAATATGTTATCAGAGAAACAAAAAAAAAAAATATATATATTATATATATTTTAAATATATATATTATATATATATATATATATATAAATATTTTTATAATTCAAGGGCACCTAAATTGTAAGATCAATATAAGAACTGTTTTTTTAATGTGCAAACATTTCGACATGGTATAGACTCTTTTCTTTATAATTTAAAATGAGAGCATACTTTACGGCGCAATCTTATTAACGACAATTTATCTATTTAGTCGGCAATTCCACTGTGTTAAGATAAATCTCAATACTAAATTCCCAGACATAAAAGATAAATTCCAATTCATGCAGTTTCTTCGAAAGACTTAAGACAGGTGAGTCGTGTTTTGATTGAACGAACAACAACAGAGAGAACGGAAGGAACTTAAAGAGCCATGTGTGTGTGTATGTAATACAACATAAAAGCCGGTTATTATTGACTCTCCAGAAACTTAAAGTTGGGGTTTGCAGATTTCTCATATAAAAGAGCAAGAGAGAGTGAGAGATTGTGTCTACAAATGCAATGGTGAAGTGCTTGGTGTGTATAAATTTTAGCCACGGTCGTTAGTTCCAAAAGAACCCTAAGAGTGAATTGACTTAAAAACGGAAACCAAGAAATTTAAATAAAGAAAGAAGAAAAAAACAACAATAAATAATCAAAATATGTATAGTAATTAAGTGGTTTTGTCTACTGAATGTTTATTTGCTAACAAATAGAAATGGTCAATAAAATTACATGGAAAAATTAAATAAAGTTACACAAAGAAAATTAGAATTTCCAAAAAAAATCGCCATTTGAAAAATTTATCATCAAAGATTTTCAGCAAACCAAGTAAACCTCATTTTTGAAAAAAAAATCTCGTTTTGTGTGTGGATACCTTAAAGGTACAAATATCGCGAAGTGTGTGTTTTTTGGTGTCGTTGTTGTTGTTTGAATTTGTATGTATCTGACGGTTACTTTCAAAGTACCAGACCCAGGCAAGCGCGAGTCAGACCTATCAAGAAACAATTCAAACCGTTTACATGGACGCGGGGAGTCACTGTATGTGAGACTTGTCTTGATTTGATGGAGTAAGTTCGCGTGACCATGTGTTGGTTGGTGGTTAGACAGAAGAGGTACAGAGGCATACATACATACATATGTGTGCTTATGGAAAAAGTCTGACTTAAATGGTGTTGAAGTGTGAGTGCAAAAGAGGTACACAGTCAGTCAGTTAGCCAGGCAGGCAGACAACAAAACCATCAACAATAAAAGCAACAAACACCAACGATTCAACATAAGAGATCATTAAGACTGGATGTTGTTATTGTTGGGTCCAGTGCTGGTGGTATATGGTAATGATATTAATGACACCAACAACAGCAACAAAAACAACGACAAAGCAAATGAAATGGAATGGAATAAATATACAACGCGATCATGTGGACTTGGATAATGTTGGCGGTATTTTCTTATTGTTATTGGTGGCAACAAGTTTTTCGTACAGTAAAAAGAAAAATAATAACAATATACCGAAAATTGTAAACGAAAAGAAAATGAAAGACACAAAACAAATAGGAGGAGAAGAAGAAGATAAAGAAAATACGCAACAAAACAAAGTATCCGACAATTAACATTTCTAACGTGAATATCACAGTGGGAGTTATGAAAATATGCAGATTGCAAATTACCCACTTAGGAATTATAACATCTCTATAGTGAATGTCAATAAATAGAAAATAAGATAGAATGGACATTGATTTTCGAAGCATATGCATTTCTGTACGACTGATTGTATATGTCTTACTGACTTTACTTACTTACTTAGCTGGCTTGTGACAGAACTTTCGTTCCATAAGCCAAGCTTAGAAAAGATTTCCAGGCTCGTCGGTCTTTTGCACAGTTTTTCCAATGTTGTCTTTGACTTGATCTTCCCATAGTATTCTTGGCCTTCCCCTTCTGCGTGAACCATCAGCTGGTTCGCTTTGATCTTCATCCATTCTCACAACATGACCTAGCCAACGTAGTCACTGCAGTTCAATATGTCTAACAATGTCGATGTCCGAGAATAGCTGATACAACTCATGTTTCATTCGACTGCGATATTTACCGTCAACGCAGATCGGCCCATAGATCTTTCGGAGAATTTTTCTCTCAAACACTCCAAGAGGTGCCTCATCTGCTTGCGTAAGTACCCTTGCTTCAGATCCATATAACAGCACGGGTAGTATCAGCGTCTTGTAGAGTGTGAGTTTGGTCTGGCGGGATATGGCCTTGCTTTTGAGTTGTTTGCTCAGACCATAGTAGCACTGGTTGGCCATCACTATCCTTCTCCGAATTTCAAAACTGATGTCATTCGTTTTATTTATGGCGGTACCAAAGTATATAAAATCTTTGACTACCTCGAAGCTGTAGTTCTTAAGTTTCACAGTTGGCCCGAGTCCGATATGTCTTGCCGAGCAAGCATTTATTTGAATAAGCCATTTTACTCGAATTCGTCCTCAACTTTTCGATTGGAAAATGCGGCTATGCCCTCAAAATATACAAAATTGGTCAGTACCTTTATATGGGAGCTATACTAAAACTTTGACCACCATTACTCCATTAGCAATATCCTAAGAATAATAGCGATGTCAGTGCAAAATCTATTGGGGATATACTGTAGTAGTAGTGTTAGATCGACAGTAGAAATATTGTAAAATCGATAGAGAATATTACATCCACCAAGAATATTAAGTTAATGAGGTCTTCATTTCGGGACGACATATTTAATATGGATTGAAATCTAAAAAGTCCAGGCATTTTAGTATGTTACACATCGATAAAGCTACATTGTCTTCCACTGTGGATGTTGTTCACATTTAAGTCGCAGATGCTCACACACATACCTTCTCAAATCATCAGGCCCAAATCTGTGAATGCAGAAGAAGAACAAGAATCTGTGAAGTGACACAGAATAACCGAAACAAAAATAAGAAATTTTGCACACCAAAAATACAAATGTGTGGCATAGTAGAAGCGAACAGTAATTTTTAACAAAAGAAAGAAAATAAACAAAACCAACCAAACAACAAATGAAATGTTTAAGCTCAGACAGACAGAATGTTGAAAAAGAAAAAAAAACGCTGGATGGCAGTTGCAATGAAGCTCGCTGAATTTGAAAACTTGTTGCATGCCTTTAACTTCTTAGCCTTTCAACACGATGGCAACAAAACAAAAAACTATCGTACATGAGACTACAACAAATACATAATCTATATGTACGTATGTACATGTATATGTATGTTTATCGATGTGATTACTGGTATATGAAATGAGTTTCATTTGTCACCAACTTACTAACTGTTACTACAATGTTATTTAATTCCGATTTTCGGTTATAGGACGGGGGTTACAATTTTATTCAGATCAGACTGTATTCAAAATATTTTATTTTGGCCTGGAAAATCCAATTTTCTTTCAACTTATACTACAAATTAAGAAAATGCGAAAAAATCTTAAAAATACCGAATATAGTTCGGTACCGATGTATGGGCACTAACCCCAAAACGTAAACCGATATTTATATTTTTAAGGATGAAGATTTGACAACTCATTAAAAACTAAAATATCAAATTAGAGCCAATTCGGTTGAAAACGTGTCCAAATGTTTCCAAATACCGTTGTATGGGGGTTACCTAAAAGTGGAACAATATTAATAATCTTTATGGGATCTCAGTATAATATTTCGAGGTTTTACATACGGATTTGTAGGGAGACTATGTAAAAATATTGAAAAATTTCGTGGAAGAAGTTTTGTATTCTACAAGAAAATTCGAACCACTACGGTTGAAAATTGCCGAAAATTGGGCTGGGTCTTTGATATCAAACGTTTTTTGCAAAGATGTTCTTCATCTTCAAGGTATGCCAACTTACAACCACTTCGGTGTGGAAATGCGTCAAAAAATGTATCCCATCATAGGACTTTTATCTTAAATTTATGGAACCTCCAACGTATATTTCGAGGTGTTGCAAACAGAATTGCAAATTTAATATTCACTTAACGCGAAGGTGGAACAATATACAAATATCTCTTCATCGCAGACAGCCATCGAAATGGACTTATTTTTTTTACCAATACATTAAAAACTACAAAAGTGTAGATGTGCCTAATATACTTTTGGCTCCCTCTGTAGTGACCATGTGCAACTAGCTACTCCACTAATCAACCAGTCAGTTTTCATGTGCAAATAGCAAAATTAAAAAAAAACAACAACAACAGAAAAGAAAAACAAAACTTTGTAAAAAGTGTCTGGTATCTACACCACAACAACAAATACATACTAATATAAATTCGTGTATCCCAAAAACCAAATCTTGGAAACCAGTTTGACAAAACAACAAGAATAGCAACAAAAACAACGAAGACAATTTCAAATAACAACAAATAGAAGTGGCCCCAAACGCGTTTCTGTACCAAATCTTCGGAAAAAAGAGTATCTTCGGAACCATAACAAAAAACAAAACCCAAACCGATGAAGAAGTGCTATTTAAAAATTCCTAACGAAATATTAGCCAGTGAAGAAAGAATTCCTTAGCGAATTCTTAGAAAATGAACAAAACCGTTTGTTTTTTTATTTTGCCATATTGATGGGCAGATTATTACATTTTTTGTTCATTCATTATAAATAATTAAGTGTTGCTATTCGTTTTTATTTCTCGAAATTAAAGATATTAGAAAAAGTGAAATAATTTGTGAATCGCTGAGAAATATACTATTGTCACAAATGTCTTCAACAACAATTTTATTTAATGTTATTTCATTGAAATACAAATGTTGATCAACGATGGCCACATTAGGCCTTTCAAAAGTCTTCATACTGGATAAATACTTTACGGAATTGCAAAAATTTTGGGAGACGGAGAAGAAGTTGCAGGGTAAGTGTATTCAATTGCTTAGATTCAAATTAAATTAGAAGGTGTGTTGTTTTCTACTTTAAAAACTCCTTGTTAATATATTTTAATGTTTCAGAACTTTTTCTAATTATAGTTAAATTGACAATATATAATATTATGTTTTTAATAAAAACATAATCGTCGTTTTTGTTTTTGTACTACATAATATTTCATGCTACAACATTTTAAAAAAAAATTCTAGACATTAAATCTGTTTTGCGATTCAATTAGTTTTATGTTCCCAAATTTTTCGAATTATGTTATCTCTGGTTTCGAGGATATATCAAATGATTAAATGCTCTGAAAACTGTCAATAAATGTTTCAATTAACAGTCACATAGTAAGCATATACGCAAAAAGCACTAGGCGACATAAATTAGAATACAATAATATGTAATGTGATTTTAGAATCGGAAAAAAATAATTTTTGCAATATTTCATTCAAAAATCTATACCAGTAGGCCTATTCACTAATAACTTTTACAATTGTGGATATTGTTTAAGGGAACCCCACCCATTCTCGATTTTAATTTTTCAAGGTTTTCAATGGGCTGGTCAATCAATACCTATGCTTGTTAAGGTTTGTAACTTTGCACATATATAATTGAAGATTTAAAAGAGAAGAAAAATAATTTACAAAAAAATGTTGTTATTGTTTTGTTGTTCTTTTTTGTAATTAAAGAAAAGTCCTTTTTTTTGATGGCGGGCATGAAAACTCCTCGCTGGAACATCGGAATCCGAAAATTCCAACGGTGTTAGAAAGAGTACATGTCTGGCTCTCGTATGAACTAGGATTATTGACTTCCCTCTAAAATTAACAAAATGGTGGACCTTTGAAAAAATATTTTTGGAAAATCGCCGATTTTTGACCAAAAACTAAGTTAAAAAATAAGGAAGATCTTCACCGATTGGCTTTATCCTAGTTCATACGAGAGCTATACACTCCCAGAGAAACGTTGCAAAATTTGGAACCGATTGGATTATTAGTTTTTGAGTTATCGTGCCCGCCATTCGCAAAAAAATGTTTAGAGAAAAACGCGTTAAAAGTTTGAGAAGCCCTTCAGCCGTCACCTGATGCTGACACAATAAATCGGATATATCTTCAAGAGTTCTTGAGATTTTCACTTGAAATTTTGTAGAGACATTCTATAATCAGTGTAGATTCGAATTATATCAACAAAAATTTTGACCCCGAGAATGGGGGGGTCCCCTTAAATTTCTTTTGTTATTGTAAAAACAGTAAAAAAAGCAAATGAAATCGTTATATGCCCTCAGGAAATTACTAAAATGTATAACATAATTTAAGATAACTCAATCCAAAATACTGTTATGTTTATGAATTCATGTTTCCCGAGTAAAAATGGTAAGCAGGAATGTCTATTTCTGATTGACTGTTATGTTGATTTTGAAGAATCGCCATCTCATTTCTAAATTTTTCTTAAAATCTGTAAACACCAAAACGTGGGCTTATACTGATAACGCATTGTAGAGTATAAAATCCTCAAACGGCTAGTTAATGACCGATATATGTCAATTTCGAACCCAATATTTTAGTTTTGTATCTCAATTCTTTCCTTTAGAAGGTATTATATTGGGGAGATGCCAGATCTTACTCCGCAATTCTTTCGAACAGAAACGTTTATGGTTTTATCCTACTAAATCGAGTAAAACTCACTTATATTTTCTGAAAGTGTAATATTTTCTCGACCCTCCCGAAGGACCAATGGAAATAGTACCATAATACGTTTTTTATTTTTTTTTCCTTTCTGTAATACTATGTCAAATACTAATGGCAAATTATGTAGTACTTGTGTAACTTGATAGTTCGAATTTGCAATATTGTAATTTGCACAGTACATCAGTTAGTATACGGAGACCTGCTTTTATAGGAAGATTTCCATTAAAATTGCAAAAATTTAGAAAATAATTTACGTGTTACAAAATCCACATTGGAAAAAATTGTCGTGCTACATTTGGGTGAGCTTCCATCCGAGCAATTCTTTTGTAGTAATTTTAACCATTCAGCCTAAAGCTTCAGTTATTACTGTTAAACACGACTGAACAGCAACCTGAACTGAACAGCAATATATACATGTAACTATTCCATTCAAATATAATATTTAGTACTTTTTAGTACCTCTTAGTACTAAATTCCAAATTTTTTTCACACATACCAATTCGCTTATCGTAGGCAAAGCTGCATACCAAATTCCAGAGTTCCACATCTGGAATTTGGTATACGATCAAACCTGAACTAAAACTTAACATTATGAATATCAACTGTTGCTGTCGATAATACTGTCTGACACTTCAGCAACTAGAAATATTGTAAAGAAACAAAAAATTGAATAGAATAATTCAGAAAAACTAATTAAGTGATGTGCAAGGCGTATTAGAAGGCATTTAAGAGATAGACCCAATCCATTAGAACTACCATCCGTACTGTGAGTAAATGTTTATGTTTAGAGAAATGTTCAATCAACTGCTCATTTTAGCTTTAAGGCGTATTTTCGGCTACCAAAAGATGCCGTTGTGTACTTAGTTGAAGCATTAAGCCCGGGTTTCCGAAAAGCCCGACGGTCAACACCAATTCCTCCTCTCTTAAAAGTATATGCAGCTCTGAGGTTTTTTGCGGAGGCAATGACTTAAACCTTGCCATGGCTCAATCCACAATGTCGGTGGTTTTGACCGATGTTGTCCGTCTAATAAAGGGAAACTGTGTAAAATTTGGATTGTTTTGAAATTAACAGATTAATTTTTTTTATTGGAAAACAAAGTTCCCGGGTGTTGTCGGATGTATAGATGGCGTACACGTATCATAGTCCTAAAAGGAGATGTTCGCAATTTTGTAGTAATTTTAACCATTATTCCAAACAAATTTTAGTTCTTATTCTTATATTAAACACGACTAAACTGCAGAAGTAAATGGTTGCCTAAAAATGTTATTTGAAGCAACTGAAGTTGACAAAAGTTGCCACCTTAATTCAAATTTGGCAACTGGCAACGCCACTCTTCTATGGTTACCATCCGTAATCGACCTATAAGTGTGATGTATATATATATATATTTAAGGAGTTATTCACGCCTACGGGCTTAAACAAGTACAAAATGGCGCTGTGTTAAGCTTTGCCACGTAGGGTTCGTACTTAAAAATAATGTCTTTAGTTTTTTTATACCCTACACAACTATGTTGTCAGGGTATTATAGCTTTGTGCAGACCCTATTGTTTTTGGAAAAGATCGGTTAATATTTAGGGGATGAAATGGACCAAATACTAAATTTTTGTCGGTTTTTCTGGTCGCTCCAGAGGCCGCAATTATGGCCCAAACACCGCGAATTTTTGCATGGAGAAGGGGATCGGGCCAGAGAATAAGCATGCATGTTTTGATAAAGATCGGTCAATATTTAGCGGGTCAAATGGACCCTGACTTTTGTGTGAAAAATGACAAAATTTGTATTCTATGGCATATATATTTACTCCTGGAGGATGTAGACCCCAGGAGTTGATAGCACATCCAAGAGGAGTGGTTGGCCTTTAAATTGATACCAAATATAGTGATGTATCTACTCAGATGTGGGAGTTACAGTCAAATATTTACAGGTGCTTACGTATTCAGATATTATTCAGTAACCCATTACCACATTAGAGGGAGAAATATCGCGCTGATGGCTTTGAAATTTTTCATGAAGTTCCAGTTATGGTCAAGAACAACGCCTATAATTTTCGGTGATGATCAGATTACAATTTTGGGATGAAATGTACCGAAAACATAATTTTTTGTGTGTTTTCGAGTAGAGTATAATCCGAAAATCACAACACAACCCACCGTGAAGGTAATCAGGACAAGTAATTAGAAGGACTGTACTGAATATTCGAAAAAAGTAAGGAAGAGGTGTTGTTAACCTCTAATCGGACAAGAGGGGGCAAATATCACGAAATATTACTCAGACTCGGAATAAACATCCTCAGAAAGTTAGAGTTCGTGGTAGTTGTGTAGGGTATCGCATGGTCGGCCCCGTCCGACTATACTGCTCCGCTCACTGGTTTTAGTTATAACATGCGTACAAATTATCTATATTAAATAATAATTAAACAAATAAAACATTTTTTAAAACTTAGTCATCTGCTCATATAATATTTATGGGAAAAAATCCTTTTTCCATTTCACACCATCGGACCACACCGATGGCAAACGTTGTCTTGCCTAGCAATATAACGGTATCCCTTAATATTCTTTATTTGGGTGTAATTTTATATACGCCCAAGCTTCCAAATATCCCCCATCTTATAGTACCCCACATTTTTATGATGTGGGGGATTTGGACACGTTTTTAAATCTAATCGGCTGTAATTTGGCATTTGGCTCTTATTTGGAAGAATGAATCGCACTAAAATTATCTATATTGGCCCACTCTTTGAGGTAGCTCCCATATAACGGTACTCAAAATATTCGGCATTTTGGTGTTTCAACCATAGTGGTTGTAATGTTTTATTTTGGATGATCAAAACCTCTTTACCAAAAATTAGCAATATTGGTAAAATTTTCAGTGTAACCCCATAAAATGGTATCCCCCATTGTTTGGAATTTTATCATGTGGTGTTTTGGAAGGAAGATTTCCTTCCAAAAAAATAATATATACCCATTCCCATTGTAGTAGCTATAATATACCACAACGGGATATTGAAGGGTAACACACATTTATGAGGGAACATTTCTATTTTGGCCCAAGCTCCTACATACAGGTCCCACTCCATTTTCGGAATTGTGAAGACTTTGACCGAATTTTCTCATATAGTATGCCATACATATTTCCCCTTTAATTTTCGGTACGTTGAAGTTCTTTCCCCCTTTTCCAACCTGAGTGTCTATAATTTTGCACATTATTGTTAAAGATCATGGACAACCTACTACCTAATAGTGTTATAACATTGTACCAATATAAATGTCTCGATAGATTTAAGGAATATACATATGAGAAGA